CATTGCCTAGATTGTCAGTTGGTGTCATCCTTGTAGGTCTCTGGAAATCTCCCTAGTGCCAGATCTCTCCTCGGACCTATAATGGCTCCCTCTAATACAGTATCTCTCCTCCTGCTCTCCTCTATTCTTCCCCCAACTCAGTATTTCTGCTCCTCCGTTTCCTCCTTTCCTCTCCTCCTCTCCTCCTCTTCTCCTCTCATTCTGGCAGCTCCCTCTCCCCTACCCTCATGATGCCAATTAGCTCAGGAGTTCCTGCCCCTTCCCATTCCTGGGAATATTTTCCTTAGAGTCCTTCTTGTTTCCTAGTTCCTTTGGTGATGAGGATTGTAGGCTGGTAATCCTTTGCTCTATGTCTAAAATTCATATATGAGTGAGTACATACCATGTTTGTCTTTTTGTGACTAGGTTACCTCACTCAGGATGGTTTCTGCAGTGAAGCCATCTGGCCCTGGGCTTTTTTTGGTTGGGAGGCTTTTGATGACTGCTTCTATTTTATTAGGGGTTATAGGTCGATTTAAACTGCTTATCTGTTCTTGGTTTAATTTTGGTAAGTGATGTCTATCCAGAAAATTGTCCATTTCCTTTAGATTTTTGAATTTTGTGGAGTACAGGTTTTCAAAGTATGACCTGATGATTCTCTGGATTTCTGTTGTTCTCGGTGTCTGTTGTTATATCCCCCTTTTCATTTCTGATTTTGTTAATTAGCATGCTCTCTCTCTGCCTTTTGGTTAATTTGGATAGAGGTTTGTCTATCTTGTTGATCTTCTCAAAGAACCAACTCTTTGTTTCATTGATTCTTTATAATGTTTTCCTAGTTTCTACTTTATTGATTTCAGCCCTCAGTTTCATTATTTCCTGGCGTCTACTCCTCCGTGGTGAGTTTGCTTCTTTTTGCTCTAAAGCTTTCAGTTGTTCTGTCAGTTCTCTAGTGTGACTTTTTTCCAGTTTCTTCATGTGGGCACTTAGTTCTATGACCTTTCCTATTAGCAGTGCTTTTAGAGTGTCCCATAAGTTTGGGTATGTTGTGTCTACATTCTCATTAAATTCTAGGAATTCTTTAATTTCTTTTTTTATTTCTTCCTCAACCCAGAAATGGTGCTATTGGGTGTTACTCAGTTTCCATGAGTTTGTAGGTTTTCTGCAATTTGTATTGCTGTTGAATTCTAACTTTAAAGTATGGTGATCTGATAAAATACAGGGGGTTATTTCAATTCTTTTGTATCTGTGGAGGTTTGCTTTGTCGCCAACTGTGTGGTCAATTTTAGAGAAGGTGCCATGTGACACTGAGAAGAAGGTATATTCTTTTGTGTTTGGATGGAATGTTCTATAGATATCTGTTAAACCCAGTTGGGACGTATTGTAGGGAGCCGTCCCTGCATTCTCATTGTAATGGAGAATGCAGGGACGGCTCCCTACAACATATGTTAATTTTCTGTCTGGTGGTCCTGTCTAGTGGTGAAAGCAGGATGTTGAAGACTCCTACTCTAAGTGTGTGAGGTTTTATGTGTGGTTTGAGCTTTAGCAATGTTTCTTTTACAAATGTGGGTACCTTCATACATGGGGCATAGATATTCAGAATTGAGACTTCATCTTGATGGACTTTTCCTGTGATGAGTATGAAATGTCCTTCTTCATCTCTTTTGATTGATTTTAGTTTGAAGTCTAATTTGTTAGATATTAGGATTGCTACTCCAGCTTGTTTCTTGGGCACATTTGATTGGAGAATCTTTTCCCAACCCTTTACTCTGAGGTAACGCCTGTCTTTGAAGTTGAGGTGTGTTTCTTATATACAGCAGAAGGATGGATTCTGTCTTCTTATCCATTCTGTTAGCCTGTACCTTTTTATGGGCAGGTTAAGACCATTGACTTTGAGGGATATTAATGTCCATTGATTGTTGGTTCTTGTTTGTTTTGGATTTATTGTTGGTGGTGTCATTGTGTGTGTATTTCGCCCTCCTGTTTCTTTTCATGTTTGGTAAAATTGGATTATCCATTGCCTATGTTTTTGTGAGTGTAGTTATGTTCGTTGGGTTGGAGTTTCCCTTCCAGAACTTTCTGTAGTGCTGGATTTGTGGATATGTATTGTTTAAGTCTCATTTTGTCATGCAATATCCTGTTTTCTCCATCTATAATGATTGAAAGTTTTGCTGGGTACAGTAGTCTGGGTTGGCATCCATGCTCCCATAGTGTTTGTAGGATATATATCCAGGACCTTCTGGCTTTCAAAGTTTCCATTGAGAAGTTGGGTGTGATTCTGATTGGTTTGCCTTTATATGTTACTTGGTCTATTTCCTTAGCTGCTCTTAATAGTTTCCCTTCATTCTGAAGGTTTTGTGTTTTGATTATTATGTGCCGAGGGGACTTCTTTTTGTTGTCCAGTCTGTTTGGTGTCCTGTAAGCTTCTTGTACTTTCATAGGCGCATCCTTTTGTAGGATGGGGAAGTTTTCTTCTATGATTTTGTTGAATATGTTTTCTGTACCTTTGAGCTGTATTTCTTCACCTTCTTCTATACCTATTATTCTTAGGTTTGGCCTTTTCAAGGTGTCCCTTATTTCCTGGACATTTTGTGTTAGGCATTTGTTGGACTTGACATTTTCTTTGGTCAATGACTGTATATCCTCTAGCGAGTCTTCAACAACTGAGATTCTCACTTTCATCTCTTGAATTCTATTGGTTATACTCACATCTTTAGTTCTTGATCATTTAACCAGCCTTTCTATTTCCAGCATCCCTCATTCTGTGTTTTCTTTATTATGTCTATTTCAGCTTTCATGCCTTGAATGTTTCGAGTGCTTCCTTCACTTGTTTGGTTGTTTTTTTTCTTGGCTTTCTTTAGATTATTTAAGAGATTTGTTTACTTCTTGAATTTTTTGGTTTGTCTTTTCCTCCACTTCATGTAATTTTTTTGCTTGTTTTTCTTCTATTTCTTTAATGGATTTTCTTGTTTCTTCTTTAAAGGTCTCTGTTATCTTCCTAAGATAATTTTTGAGGTCCATCTCTTCTTCATCCTCTGTGTTGGGCCTTTAAGATCTTGCTGGTGTGGAGTCCCTAGATTCTGGTGGTGTCATATTGGTCTCTCTATTGTTGAGTGTGTTCTTACTCTGTCTTCTTCCCATCCCTTCTTCCAGTGAGTGTAGGTGGGGTCTCTCCTAGGTGTCTCTCTCTAGGGTGGCAGGCGGAGGGCTCAGCCTCTGGTGGCAGCCGGTTGGCAGAGGGTGGTGGGTGGACAAGGGTGAGGTGTCTCCGGACTGAGGGTGGGCCTTCAGTCTGGGCAGGTCCACTCTTGTGGGGGAGGGGGCTTCAGGCAGAAGCGAGCAGGGATTGATGGGGGAGGCTCCCTGCCGCAAGACAGAGGGCCACTTTCTATTTTTTTTTTATAAAGTTTTTTTCAAACAATATATTTTGATCATGATTTTCCCTTCTCTTACTTTCTCCTGATCCTCCATAACACCCAACCCATGAAACTTTGCTCTCCCTCATACAGAAGAACACAGAAATGAAAATCGAACAAGCAAAATATAAATAAAACAAAGAAACAAACAAAAATGCCCAAACAGAATGAAACAGAAAGCCCCCCCCCCAAAAAAAAATTTACTGAGTTTGTTTTATGTTAATCAGCTACTGGGCATGGGGATTGCCCTAGCATGTAGTTCATATATCCAGTGACACTTCATTAGACAAAATTGATTTTCCTTTTATCAGCAATTACCAGTTGCAATTAGCTTCTTGGTTGGGGCGAGGAATCCATGTCCCCTTTTCCCTCTTAGTAGTAGGTCCCCATCTGGCTTGAGCCTGTATTAGCTCTGTGCATGTTGCCACAATCTCTGTGAGTTCATGTGTGCATCAGTCCTGTTGTGTCTGGAAGATACTGTTTCCTTGGAGTCATCCATCTCCTCTGGCTCTTAGAATCTTTCTGCCTTATCTTTTGCTCTATCCAGGTTCTTAGTGATGGCATGGAATTAAAAAAAAGAAATCTAAGAATTGAATAGCCTTTTAAATACTTTATAAAAAGTTAGCCCTGTTCACTGTGAGGTGTATCCTTACTCTTGTGTTTGAGGTATAGGATTTAGAATCCAGACTATTTCCCATAAAACTGAGAAATTTTTAGTAAGCCATCCCTTTGTGTTATTATAGAAAATGCTTTTGATTTGTTGCTTACTAAGAGTAGGGCTTATTTATTTTGGTTCTAATTTTGAGATAGGGTCTCACTGTATGACTCTGGCCATCCTGGAACTCACTATGTATAGGGTCTCACTGTGTGACTCTGGCCATCCTGGAACTCACTATGTTGACCAGGTTGGCCTTGAACTCAGAGAGTTGTATACCACCTGACTCATCCAGGACACAGGGTTTAAAAATTTCATTCATATATTCCCATGAAAAAGTGTCTAAAATGAAGTATTTTTTAAAAAACAATCATTTAAGTCTTAATTTTCTAGTGAGCTCATGTACACATAGCGAGTGTTTATTTTTGTATGGTTTCCTCCCTGTTACTTTTCTCCTTTCTTCCAACCTTCTCTTCCTCCCTCTCCATTTTTTGTAACAAAGTTAGACTGTAAAAATGCAAGAGGAACCACTCCCTATGTAGTGCCTTGCACAATTTTTTCTTGGATTGCACCAAGTACACGTAGTTGGAAATTACATATTGAACAATAACAAACTTATTGATGCTGCTGATAATGTTTCAGTGCTGGATTTTGAAAAAGTAGACCTTTATTGGCATCAACAGAGCTCTACTAGAGATTGGATAAAAATGTAGGCTGTTGACCATGGAGTTCATGTTGCTAAGATGCAGCATAGACTCACTATGTTGACCAGGTTGACTATGTTTGAAAAGCTTGCTGGACTCCCACTCTTCCACTGATCTGGAGCCTGTTTTGTTGATGTTGTAGGAGTATCATGCCTGTCAGAATTTTACTTGCTTTAGAAACAGCACTCAATGACATATTAAAAGCTATTTTCCCCAAGATTTTATACATGCAATATGTATTTTGTTAATTTAACTACAATGAACATGGTAGAACCATGTAATTGCTTAAAGTAATTCTCACATTACCCTCAGTGCATAAAGGCTCTTATATGCTGACATTGGATACAGTGGCTATTTCAGATCTATACATTCTACTGAAAGAAATGGATTAATGAGCTTCATACAAAATAAATAACTTTCAATCTATGTCTCTTCCTAATTGCTTATCTACTTTTTGTGAAGAAATGTAGGGCATATGTGGAGTGATTTTAACTTCTATTACAAATAAATGAGAAGTTTAAAAAATAGATAACAAAAGGCACCAGCTAATAATTTACTATACAGTAATGCATATATCTATTTCTTTCCTTTCTCCTAATACTGCTATAGGAATTGTTGTAAGCACATACCCATCCCATAAAGATTTTCTCTAATATTGTTTAGAAATATCTTTATAGACCATAAATATTTTCACTTGTGACTTTGTCGCATGGTGTTTTATTGTAAATGGACACCATGAAGTCATCTAATTCATTCTATTTTTAGATATTTATGCTGTGTTCTTGTGATAATATCCTTGCAAAAAGCTATTTCAAATTTATGATCATTTCTTGAATGGAAGTCTCAAAGTGGAGCTGACAGGTTTAGAATACTTTAAAACCTTTTGAAATTTAGTGTGAAGTTGATTTCTTCAAGGGTCAGAATTTGTTACATGATTTTTCTTGACTCTGTGAATATAAACATTTAGAGCATAGTCAGTTGCAGGTGAAGCTAACTTAGGGTGTTTGAAGAGTAGATGTATTAAGTATGTTTCAACTTAATGATATTTCAAATTTATGATGGGGTTATTGGAATCCAATACCTTTATAATAAGTGAAGTGTCTATATTTAGTATAAAGTGAATACAATTGATTCTCTAGAATCCTCCCACAGGGACAGTTAGTTTTTGTCTTGTTTTAGTTTTGGTATCAATATAAATAAAAACTTTTAAAATATTTCAAGTTTTACCACAATTATCTCTTTTGACACTCTTGTATTTTTTTGTCTGTGTCTACCATTAATCTCAGCGTCTCTCCTGCCTTTATCTTTTTGGGGATAGAGTCTCTCTGTAGCAAACTCACACCAGAGTTTGCTCTGCTCTGCACATGGGATAATGGACATGTACCACCATGTCTATGATAGCCTTCTGAAGTTGCCTCAGACATCTTCCTAGACATCTGCAAATCACAGTTGCTTTCTTTGCTTTCTGGAGTGATGTTGTTCCTTAGGTTTATCCTGTGTATGATCAGCCTCACACCTGCACTCATCTATGAAAAAAAAAGGAAAATGAAATCATTCCAGAGTGTTATTATGAGGCAGAAGTTTTAGAAATTGGAAGCTGCTGTGAAGATCAGCTAATATAGTACATATGTGCATTTTAAATATTAATAATATAAAACTAAGCTATCTATTTTAAATATTAGTGATTATTTTGTGACTAAGCAGATGATTATTTTTCCCTTTTTCTTTGTAGACTTTGCCAGTCATTCAGATGATGATCAGATAAATGTAATGGGTTTCCGTCTCCTAGGCGGCTCTCGAGTTACTCTTCTTGCTTCCAGAACTTCTCGTAAGTAGAACTGTGCTGTTACCATTGCTGAAATGTTCATCTTAGGGCACTGTATCACACCCAGAACTTTGCAAAGGGTGCAGATGATGTTAGCTAGATATAGACAGACAAGAGCCGTGAGTGTAAGATATGAAAGTTGTGAAGACTAGATTGTATCATGGATATGCACCCTTAGTTTCGGGGATGAAGAGGGTTTGAAAGGAACTTTAAAAACTCAAAATGGTTTTAAGATATGTATACAGTGTTCTGGGTTTCAAGAGCTCTTAAAAACTAGAATTGGTTTTCTCTTTTGCATTTGTATGTATGTATTTATCCCTTTTCATGTTTCTTGAGAAGAGTCCCCTATGTGTAATTCATTCTGGGTTTGAATGTGTTGACTTGTCTGTCTCCCCCATTCTTGCAGGTTGTTATAGAAGTAGCAAGTGTGTGAGAGAAACAAAGCCGGCAGTCTCAGAGCAGACTCAGTGCTCACAGCAAAGGTTTACACAGACTGCATGCCGCTCTTTTCCTTTTTCCCATGCATGTGTGTGGTGTGCATGTGTGTGTACATGAGTGTTCACGTGTGCACATGCATACACACGTGGGCGTGGAAGCTCCAGGTGGATGGTACTGATCTTCAGTTGCGCCTCCACCTTATTCTTGGAAGCAGGATCTCTCAGTCTAACCTCCCCGGCAAGGTTAGTCTTGCTGGTCAGCTTGTTCTAGGATTCTGTCTTTGCTCTGGGCTGCCACACCTACTTGGCATTTTCTTGGGTTCTGGGGATTTGGACTCAGTTTCTCTTGCTTGCACTACAGACACTTTAACTGCCAAGCATCTCCCCAGCCCTAGACTAATTTTTTCCTCTATGGAGAGGCATTGTATAGTCTTTGGGGAATGGGTGGCTAAATTAGAGAGATGAGATGGTCAGTGGACACAAAAGATGAAGTACCAAATGTGAGGATACTAGAAAGGCCTGATTGATTCTTAGCCCTCAGCTCAGAAAAAGACCCACATCTTTATGCATCTGTGTGAAATTTCAGAGCACAATGGACCAAGAATATATCATGGATTATAAAAGGAAAAATAAACTATTAACAAGAAATAAATCAGGATGATGTATTCTTTCCACAAAATTTCTCTTTTTCCAGATGTGGTGACTCATGGCTATAATCTCAGTCACTCAAAAGGTGTCACAAGTAGTTTCATGAGTTTAAGATCACACAGGGCCACCTAGCAAGACCTTGTGTCAAAACAGGCAAACAAAAATCAACCAACCAACCAACTAAGCAACCACAAGCAACCAACTAACCAACAAATCAGTGGTAGTTGGTACTGCACAGTGAAAACACTCTCCAAGATGCAAGGGAGATGTTTCTCAGCTTGTCCTTCTGTGTCCTGCTAAGTTGGTAATGAAAAACGAATGCTAAATAGACCCGCATTCATTTGTATAGATTCAAGTAGGTGTTTAAAATGGAAAGGGTAACTAATACACACTGGGCTTTTCCATGTTTTGCTTGATTTTAGCATGCCAGAGGGAACAAATGGAATAAAATCAAGTTGGAAAGTCCTGTTCTTACCCACTTTAATAGCATGTTTTCAGGCATAGTAGAAGAGTCATAGACATGTATGCAAAGATGAGTTGAGCCTTGAAAGTGTCTTTCTTTTCACTTTGCACATGTGATCTTTAAACTTTTAATTAAAGTATGTTGAGAGCAAGGGTTGTGAGAGTCTTCTTTCTTTATTCCATCTTGGCAGAGTAGATCTTTGATACCTATCACTCAGGGTCTTGTTAGGTATAAGGCTAGCACCTCCCTTGCAGAACCCATGGATTACAATAGGAGGGAAGAGTGGTTAAGGAGAATCAATAATCAAACATTAGTATGCTGACCAAAGGAATAGAATCTTTAGGAGATTTTGTAAAGATCTTGAGAAATAAACATGAGAATTAGGTAAAGGTCAATGTAGGAAGTAGGAAAGATATCTTCAAAGGTTGGCAGATGTGTGAGGGTTTTAGACATAGTGAATTTTCCAGAGTGCCTGGACCATCATACTTTAGGGGCTCTGTAATGTTCCTTTAATGAGGCCAAACATTTTGGGACAATTAATAATAATATTAGTCAAATATGAAATCATTTGATGTCTATCTTATACCACTGAGCATTGTAAAGGGATGGCGATTCATCAGTTAATATTTAGCAATTTCTTCACTATGGGGACAATTTGTTTATAATGCAAATCTAACTTTCAAAAAGCACTTTGTAAAGTAAGTGTAGATGTAACCCCTATAGTTTCTAATATCTCAGTAGTCATTAAACTTATATCTTCAGAAATTGTTTATAGCATTTCTTCCAAGTTTATGTCTAAAAGCATTCATTTGCTTTATCCTCTTAAAAAGTTTTCCAATGATAGAATTATATGCATGTATTGCTGACAATTTATTATAAACCGTATTTGTATTGATGAAGTTCAGATGATCTGACTTGAATGGGGTCTGATGTGGTATTCTGTGTTCGGCTTAACTGAATGCACTATTTATTCTTTGGTTGGGTCGGGTGGTGATTGATTGGACTTACTTTATTTGGAAGCTGAAGTGGTTATTTCAACTGAGTGCTGTTACAGGGCACAAAAGAAAAGGAGATACACAAATTGAATGTTCACTTTGTCAACTCTTGACTATTAGTATTTTAAGGGCACATTTTAAAAACTCTAGCTCATTTATTGTAGATTATAAATAGAAAGTTGCATTTATCTTTTCCATTAAATGTATAACATGGAAAGTCTCTATGTGAAACACTAAGTACTTATATATGAACACTAAGGAAATGGTTAACAGCCAAAACTATGCCTTGTGGGCATCTGACTCATGGTTTCTAGTTGAATTTTGATAATTTGAAAAAAAGCCAATTTAAGAATATTATTTTTCTTTCTTTACCCCAGTTCTATGTTTCTGTTACAGAATAGTTTATTTTTTTTCTCCTGAGTAGGCTGATACATGTAAGGGAAAATTAATACTAAGAAATAACTCTAAAGTTACATATAAAACATGTCTAAGTGTTTGACTTTCATATCTTCATTGTTTGGTGACAATAATGTAGTGTACTTGATCACAAAAGAGTACCTATTAGGTGCATGGAATTTCACTTGCACTTGGGCTTTGCCTTCACCCTACTCTACACAACAGCATCTTTGCACCTTTCCCTTCCATGGCTCTGACAGTTAGTATCCTAGAAATGACTCATATCTGTGTAAGTCTGACTGTGCATCCATTTCCTGTAAGGACATTATGAGCTGCTCCATCTTCCCCTCTGTGTACATGAAGAGTCTGAAGATTTATTTGTTTACATTGGTGGCAGCTTTAACACTGCATTATCTCAGAGACTAAGACCTGAGAATGCAGGGGTTTCCTTTTCATGATGCACTTAAGTGTTCCCTATAACACAGCTCTCTCTCATCTTGGTTATAATGTCCTAACTGTAAGAGCATTTTTGCCTCTTTCCAATTCAGTTTCTATTTGGATGCTTTTGTAATACAGCAGACAAAGGAAAAGATACAAATCATAACCCTATTGCTCTTCATCTTAAGACCCTCTCCATTTAACCAAACATCTTGTTTTGGTTTGAAATAGGATTTCATGATATAGCCCAAGCTTATCTTGAACTCACTATGTAGCCCAAGCTAGCTTTGAATATCCTGCCTCAGTTTTCTGTGTTCTGGCTCTCCATGCCAAGCTTAACATTGAAACTTTTTACCAAGCATTGTGGATCTCTGTGTATGATCTTGGCCATAGTGGCTCAGGCTTATAATCCTAGGTACTTGGGGGGCTGGGGTAAGAGGATCAGGCGTTTAAGGCTAGCTTGGGCTACAGTGTTTGTTCAAGGTCAGGTAGGAAACTTAGTAAGACTCCATCTCAAAAAATGAAAATAAACAGACAAATGGGTTTATAGTTTAGTGATAGGGCACTCTCTAGAGTGTGCATGAGACCCTGGGTTTGAGCCTCAGTTACAAACATCTCAGTGTATGGTTGGACCCCAGCTTAGTGTTGATCCCATCTAGGAATATCTTCTTCAACTTCTCTCAGTCTGGCACATGGCTGATTTGTTTCTGCTCTGAGGACAGGACATTTCCTCCACCTTAAGGACTAAGCTTTTTGTACAGAATGCTTAGGAACATGCTCAGATTCAGAGCACTAGTTTAGGTTTTAAACTCTAGCTTATTATTTGAATGGCTATGGAAAATTATTGATCATCTTTAAAATGGCAGTAAAATTATAAAATTATAAAGATCACAATAAAATAGTGAGATAATACATGAATCCACATGAAATTGTCTCTTAAAGAGATGTATTAACTTTCTAGTATGTTGTAGGTGCTAAATACATTTTAGCCTTTAATTGTATTTTTACCATAGTTGCCATTATGGTTCACGTGGCACTTACTGAGACTCTAAATAAAGGGTGATCTGGTGTTACTTTGCTTTATTAAGAGGGTTTCATCAATCTGATTTGTCCTTCTTTTAAACTGGCTGCAAGTTTTCTGTGTTACTTTATCATTTATCATTAATTAATTAATCTATTCATCTGTGTTGCATATTTATACACCTGTGCACACACACATGCATGGTGACACATGCTAAGGTCAGAGGACCACTCATGGGGATTGGTTCTCTGTGACCACGTGACTACCTGGTGGGATCTGGGAATCAAACTCAGATCATCATGCCTGTGTGCAAGAGTTCTACCTTCTGAATCATTTCATTGGCCCTCTGTAATCTTTTAAATAGGGCCAGTTTTTCCCCTCCCTTCTTGCCAGCCCACAGTATCTCTGCCTCACTTCATATACCACCCATACCTGGTATAAACTGTACATGGGGTTGACTTAGCTACATGAGTTAATAGATATATACAATGAAATCTCCATGTTGTAGTTTACCATGCCCTGGGGACAATAGTGGCAGTAGTATGAGAATAAGCAACGCTTATTGAATGTTAACTTTATCAATTACCATTTTTGAGGCAGAGTTTGTATCCCAGGCTGGCCTCGAATTCACTGTATAGTTGAGGATGATCTTGAGTTCCTGATCTTTCTTCTTCCTTCCCCTGAGTACTGGGATTACAGCTGTGAGACACCACTTCTGTCTTTTGCACTTCTAGGGATTGAACCATGGACTTGTGTATGCTAGACAAATACTTTACCAACTGGCCTACATCTCCAGCCTGTCAAATATACCTCATAGAATTTATGAAGAGATAAAAATGAAAGGACATGAGCACATTAGGGCAAAAATCTCAGAAGTTGACAGCTATGAAGGCTCTGGTTCAGCCTCCTTTACCCTGAGAGGAAACTCAGTTCTCTCCTGAGCTTCTTATGACCATGGATAGTCGCAAGAAAGTTCTGGGCTCTTGACAGTAAAGATGCACAAAGGCTAGGAGGTGCTGCAGTTGAGAGACAAGGGTATTTCTATTTGAGGTACAAAAGCAGGTGGGAAGGGCGCTGGAGATGCTTGTGGCCAGTCTTTCTGAAGATGTGAGAAACCAATGTGTGGTAGGTAGTAGCATCATAAAAGCTGAAGGAGGTACTGGCAGGGTGGCTATGTTGTCTGCAGAAGTGTTAGCCTTAAAGACAGTTGATGTGATGTCCGTGCTAACCTCTGTCACCTACAGACAGAACACTTTGATCACAGTAGTATAGAGCCGCGATTTTGCATGGACTGTGGCAGGCATATGAACTATTGTTTATTCTGTATTGTGGTGGTTTCAATGAGAAATGTTTCCCGTAGGCTTCTGTATTTGTTCAAATACTTGATTCCCAGTTGGTGTTGCTGCCTTGGAAGATTATGGAACTTGTAGGAGGTGAAGCATTACTGGAGGAAGTATGTCATTATGGGCAGTCTTTGAGGACTTATAGTCTTGCTCCACCTCTCTCTTCTTCTCTCCCTCTCATCTTCCCCCTCCCTCCTTATGTGAAGAAAAATGTAATCAGCCAGCTTCCTTCCTGTGTCTGCTGCCATGCCATACATTCTTTATCACTAATGGACTTTGTCCCATTGACACTGTAAGCTAAAATAAAGCCTTTCTTCCTTAGCTTTCTTTTTGTCATGTTATTTATCTCAAAAATAGGAAAGTAAGGAGTATACATATAGCAGAAAAAGAGGATGACTAGGGGCACCAAGAGAACCTAGCTTCCTCAGTTTGCTAATAAAAGTAAAGTCCTAAACCATGTGTGGAGAGTCCTAAGAAACACATCACATGTGAGTCATTTCACCCCAGTCTTTACATACTGTAAGCAGGAAGGCTGAAGTAATCCTCATCCTGCCAAGGCTTCTAATATATCTTTCTTTAGAATATTTTATATAGTATAAATAGTTGATGATGAATTAAATGGAATTTGTAACTTCTGAGATTTTTTTAAGGGACCTTGTATAATCATCTTGGAACTTAAAACTTGGTGGTGAGGTGCCTGGTAAGCAGTAGGTGTATTGAGCCTGTGTATGTTTACATAGATGTAACACTGTCATGTGGTTAAGATCAATGGTTAGTCTTTCTGAATTAGTAGGTAGAATTTCAGTGTCTTCTCCATATATAACTGGCTGAATGACCTCGTAAACTAAACTCTTCTGAGATTGGTTTTTTTTTTTTTTTTTTTTTTTTGTAAAAATGAGAATAACATCATTGCCTTGTGGAGACAGTGGAAGTTTAACTGACAATGTGGTTGTGACAGAACCCGGTGTGTATCAGGCTTTTTTTGGGAGGTTGAGAAAACAAAATTTATACTGGGGTAGATGAGATCACACTATGCCCTGAAGAACAGGCAAGTTAAAATAGGTAGGGAAGAATATATGTAGTATGAATTCAAGCTGTCACATTTAACGTGTTTCCTGATCCTCGGTTGGATCACTGGAATTCTGTATGCTTTTTTTTTTCTTTTTTTTAACCACAAGAAACTGGTACATCCACTGTATTTGGCACTTAGCTGCTGCCCACCCACAGCTGATCTTACAGATGTCATTGCAACTGCTGCTGTCATCATCACTGTCATTGTTGGCATTGTCATCACAGCCATCATCATTAGAGAATACACAGGATCTTTTGTTACTCAAGGTTCAGGGAATAGAAGGAAGCAGATTTTCTTTTTAATTTAGGGAAGTGCCAAGCTTAAACCCCCTTTTAAATTGAGAATCTACTGGATAAACAGAAAACTTTGATCATAATTGCAGTGATTTGTATAGAATACATTTTATTTTATCTCACACCAGTTTTCAGAAGTAGACTAGTACCACCACACTGCACCTTTTCATTGGCTGTTTGTCTTTCAAGTCAAGTGTTGCATCACAGTTGGGTTGGTCAATTCTTTTTACTATTGGGCACACATTGAGAGGACTGCACTCGGCCTGTCTTTGGCCATCTCCCTGGGAGGACATCTGAAGTCGTTATATGGTTGATGCAGAATACAGCAACAAAGCAGCAGACATGTGTTTTAGGAAGCCAGCAGAAATCATATCTACATTACAAAAAAATTTATCCTTGAGTCAGTCAGTGTTCATGCCACGGTTGCTTGGTAGCCCAGCTAGTTTCAGCTAATAACCATGCATTAACGAGCACGTTTCCTTTGTTATTTTTTCTCTTAGAACGATACCGAATTCAGAGTGAACAATTTGAAGATCTGTGGCTCATAACAAATGAACTTATCCTCCGCCTTCTGGAATATTTTGAAAAACAGGGAATCAAAGATTTTGCATGTTCTTTTTCTGGATGTATTCCCCTTCAAGAATATTTTGAGTTGATTGATCATCATTTTGAGGTATGCTGTTAAACCAAATAACCTATACTTTAAAAATAAATAAAAGATAAAGAGATACTACAGAAGTGAGAACTCTGGGTACATACTGGCAGGTTGCCGTCTCTGAGTTATTCTGTGGATGGTAGTCATCGTCCAGTTACTGATCAGTTGCAGACATGACAGAATGGCAGGCTGGAGCTAAGCTTGTGGTCTCACCTTCACACATTGCTGGTTGAACTCTCCCACTTCTAGACTTAACCCACAACCCCAGTAACCCAGTGCTAATACTAGTTGAGCTTGTCACCAGCCATTTAGCTAAACTAATTCAAGCAGTGCATAAATGAGATGTGATTATAAAGTGAATCTTTTTCATCTATAACAAGCAGAGCAGAGCATCTCCGCTGGAATGAGGGTTAGCCACACAAAATATTCTCTGTACCTGGCTTAATGGGTTCCTAGTAGATGCTGAATGGTTAAATGTACAAACCCATGAGATCTGGCAGTGGCTTTGTTGCTCTGAATGTTCTTATATAGTGACTTCTCTTGAGGATCTAAGTACTGTCATTTATATATCCCTTGAAGATTAAATTCATATTTGCAAAGAGTCCTGTTTTCTGAATGAATTGGGCAGTGGCTATCATTACTTTAAATGTTGTTTGCATTAAAGTCACCAGGTACACTTACTGAATAGAGTCTGTGAACAGATTCTATAGGGGATTGAAAAGAAGGTAATTTTGAAAGAATTCTGAATATCTAGCATTGGTTATTAGAGTTGTTACTATTTTAAAAAGGTTTATTATTTATTTTTATTTTATGTGAATGTATGTGGTTCTTTTTTGTCTTGTTTGTTTGTTTGTTTGATTGATTGATTTTGTTTTTTGAGACAGAGTTTCTCTGTGTAGCTTTGGAGCCTGTCCTGGAACTCGCTATGTAGACCAGGATGGCCTTGAACTCCCAGAGATCTGCCTGCCTTTGCCTACCAAGTGCTGGGATTAAAGGTGTGTGCCACCAACACCTGGCTATGTATGTGCTTCTTAGTGTATGTATAATGTATCACATACATGCAGGTACCCTTAGAGGACAGAAGAGAGTGCCAGATTTCCTGGAACTGGAGTTACAGGCAGTTGTGAGAACTGATCCTGCGTCCTCTGTAAGAGCAGGAAGTACTTTTAGCCATTAGTCATCTCTCATACCCCTCAAGTGATTATTCTTAGAGTAGTCAGTAGTTTTTCAGCCATTCCTAGGGCTCACATCAGGTGTCTTCTCTTCTTCTTTTTAGTGGGGTGGTGTGTCTCTCACATTTTCAGCTAGAGTTCCTGTCCAGCTAGGCCCCATGTGTTGCATCTCTATATCCCACCCCCAGCCCTCACTCAGGCCTTTTTATATGGGAGATCTGAGCTCAGGTTCTCAGTCTTCCATTGCAAGCACTTTACCCATTAGCCGTCTTCCCAGGCCAGCTGATAGTTATTTTATGGGTTAGTATATATTTGACTCAATTGTGGTACCCAAATCAACAGTTTGGGGGAGTATATCAAGGTATTTTAAATGTGGACATTTTAAATTTTAATGTTTCAGTATAATCATTATGGTTACACACATTATCTATCTCTATCTATCTATCTATCTATCTATCTATCTATCTATCTATCTATCTATCTATCATCTATTTATCCAAAGGTTTTTCCTTATTTTCTGTTTGAGAGTGGAACTGAGGTGCTTGCACATACTAGGCAAGTGCCTTTCCACTGAGCTACACACCCAGACCCTAGGCCCCTCACATTGTTTTCGGCAAGTCTTATTTCTAGACTAGGTTTGTAGAAGTGGAAGTGATATCTCAAGGCTATATGTTAAAGAACTAAAATGAGATCATTTTTATTCTTTTGGGATATATTTCAAGAAATCCTAGCTTGACTATACTGGCCTGAGAGGTCAATGTTTTATGAAGGAGAGTCCACAGAGAGACAATACCAACTACATGCTCATAATATTTAAAATAGCAATCACTGTATCCTGTTGGTTAGTAGGTTTGCCATACACTTCCCCTCCTGATGTCTTGGATAGGGACTCCCCAGTGTTTCCATATCAGGCTCTTTCTAGTGGGAGAGTGAGTTTAGGCTTTTTGATTTGTTGCATACACAGGGGTAATGATTTTTCTTTCTTTGCTCCCTGTTGCCACAGTCTATTTTCAACTATGAATCATTTCTTAAGCTTTTAATCAAGATCGCTTCTAGAATCTATGTTGCTTTGTGTAAGCAAGGAAGGAAGGAATTTCTTTCTGTTTTATTCATTGTGGTTCTTCTTGGTACCTGAAACAGTTTTTGGCCCCATGATTGATAAATATTTGGTAAAATATTGCATTATTATTATTATTATTATTATTATTATTATTATTATTATTATTATTATTATTATTATTATTATTATTATTATTATTATTATTATTATTATTATTATTATTATCAAGGAAGTCCATGAATGCATGAATAAAGAACAACAGATATTTATTTGGGGAGCACTCACACAATGAGGATAAATAGCCACTGCAGTCTTCTGTCCCTGGAGGTGCAAGATGCTGTGCTGCAGAATGCTCAGATCACCACCCAAGAGAGAGATCAAGGCCTCTCCTCCTCCTTGTAAGGGATCAGGTCCACACACCAAAGCCACACCCTAAGGCTTTTCCCCTTTTTGTCTAAATAAGAGAGTTTTAAACCTGATACAAAACTATATACAATGATAACAGATATCAAGTATAGTCCAGGAGAAAGAAAGGTAATAACATATAGAAATTTATACCTATTACCAGCAAGAGCAACATTGAGCAAGAATCACATACTAAATGCTCAGGCCAAGGGCAAATGGCATATTACAGAGATTACTCCAGTAATTGTCCTATCCAGAAAAGTTTAAGTCTTGTACCTTATATCCTCTAGCTAAGATAAGAGAGGATATTAGCTATGACTAGTTAGTCATCAACCTCATCAAAGACCTGGAAAGGAAAATAAGATGCTACTACAGGCTGGCTTTGATAGTTGGCTCTCTTCCTTCACTGTAGTTATGAAGTCAGGTTGACAGGCATGTACAGCAAGCACTTTAACCCCAGAGCTATCCTGCCAGCCCCTAGTCCCCTAAATTATGAGATTTCGATATTGAGAATCACCTTGCTCCTGGTGCATGTTACACACTGAGCTGCCAGCCTGGTCCATAGCTGCATGTTGAGGAAGTCTTTTAGTATCCCGTGTGTTCATAGACTCCGTGACTATTATGGAAGTAGATTTCAGGTAGGTGAGTTTTACTTGACCTGCCATTGTTCTTAGGACAGGGTCCCTGTATCCCAGGATGCCTACAGAGTCCATGCAACTGAGGATAAATGTGACTTAGAACCTCTGGTGCCCTACCTTCACCTCCTCAGTGTCAGGATAACAGGTTGAGCACTGCATGCTTGGAGCACATAGTACCAGGGATTAGACCCTGGGGCTCCAGCATGCTAGGAAAGTACTCTGAGAGGTGAGCTCCATTTCCAGCTTCTTTTATTCATTTAAAAATTCTAGTTATTAAAATTCATTTTGTTACTTTTTGTGTTGCACATATATTTGTTTTTTTAATTTTTGAGATTATAATTAGATTACCTTTCTTCCTTCCCCTTTCTCTCTCCAAACTCTCATCTCTCATATGCTCCTCCCCATTCTCCTTTAAATTCAGAGCCTCTTTGTAAATAACTGTTTTTATGTGAATATATATTATATTCCTAAATATAATCTGTTGAGTTCATTGTATTGAGTATTTTTATATCAGTCTTCATGAGTGAAATGGTTCTGTAATTTTCTTTTTTGTTGAATCTTTGTGTGGTTTAGGTATCAGGGTGACTGTGGCCTCATAGACATAATTTGGCAATGTTATTTATGTTTCTATTTTGTTCAATAATTTGAGGAGTGTTAGTATTAGCTCTTCTTTGGAAGCCTGTTAGAATTCTGCATTAATACTGTCTGGCCCTTGGTTTATTTTTGTTGTTGTTGTTGTTGTTGTTGTTGGGAGAATTTTAATGACTGCTTCTATTTTCTTAGGGGTTATTGGCCTTTATAAATTACTTATCTCATCTTGATTAACTTTGGCAACTGTTGTCTATCAATAAATTTGGCCATTTACTTTAGATTTTTCCAATTTTATGGAGTATACGTTTTGAAGTATGATAACCTAATACTTCTCTGAATTTCCTGGAAGTCTGTTATGTCCCTTTTCATTTCTGATGTTGTTGATTTGGATATTCTCTTTCTGTCTTTTAGTTTGTACAAGGGTTGGTCTATATTGTTGATTTTCTCAAAGAACCAACTCTTTGTTTCATTGACTCCTTGTATTTTTTCTCTTTATTTCTACTTGATTGATTTCAGTCCTCAGTTTTATTATTTCCTACCATCTCCTCTTCTTTGGTATGTTTGATTTTTTGTTCTATAACCTTCAGGTTTGCTGTTAAGTTGCTAGTTTGAGATCTCTCCAAATTCTTCATGAAGGCACTTAGTGCTATGAACTATCCTCTTAGTATCACTTTCATTGTGTCCTGTAAGTTTGGGTATGTTGTGGAGTCATTTTTGTTGAATTCTAGGAAGTCTTTAACTTCTTTATTTCTTCCTTAACCAGTAGAGAGTTGTTCAGTTTCCATGAGTTTGTAGGCTTTCTGTTGTTTCTTTTGTTGTTAGAATCCAGTTTTAATCCATGGTGGAATGATAAGATAAAGGGAGTTATTTCATTTTTTTTGTATCTACTAAGACTTACTTTGTGGCCAAGTATATGATAAATTTTTAAGAAGGTTCCATGAGGTGCTGAGAAGAAGGTATATTCTTTGGTGTTTGGGTGAAATGTTCTGTTGATATGCTAGGTCCATTTCAGTCATAATGTATGTTAGTTGTGTTATTTCTCTGTTTAGTACCTGTCCATTGGTGAGAGTGGGGTATTAAAGTCACCTACTATTATTGTGTGGAGTTTGATGTGTGATTTAAGCTTTAGTAATATTTCTTTTACAAATGTGA